AAGCTGAAAGGGAGATTAAAAGAGAGAGACCCCCAAGTCAAAGAATTGCCATATGCCAAAAGAGCTGTTGTGTTTAGAGCTGGACTTAAAACTAACCAAGCCCTTACCTGAACCCAGAAGAAGCACAATGATGAGCACATGGAAGAGATGATAAAAATTATTAATAGCCATAGAAATGGTGAACAGGACAAAGGAGAATAAATATCCAAGAATGACAGGACACAGGAACTGGAGTTACTTTGACTTTTGTTGCATACTGAGGATTGTGACATGTTCAGCCGTTGAAGCCTTAAGCAATGTACATTTCATTCAGGATGTGTATGACACCATTTGCAGGGTGATGTTTTTTAGGACAGGGAACTGTTTTTGGAAAGACATAGTACAAGCACGCTTTAGTGTAGCTCTGGGAGGCATACACCCCTCAAGGCTTTTTTTGTGGTCTTCCACACCTCCAGAATCCCCAGACCAACTTTTTCTTGCCAAAAAAAGAAGTTACATTGCTCTTTCCTGGAAACCTAGAGTTGCAACAGTTTGGCTTTCAAATTGTTGCATGGCCTCCCTGTACTGATTGCCATCAAATTATACCTCTTTTGAGAACCAGAAGTGGTTTTATGGCCACTTTACTTTGTTTATTTTTTGTTTGTTTTTGGTGGTCCATGCACCCTGCCAAAAGTCCCAGGGTCATAAAAGATGGGGGGCTGCAGTTGCACACTCCATTAAATGATAGTTTTTGCAAGGTCAGATTATTTATCCTATATTTGCTAATTCCAGCTGACAGCTACAGGCATGTAGCTACAGGGAGGGGCAAAATAAAGGTATACCCTCCCCAATTTTCCTTCAAACCACAAATTTCTAGCAGTGCTTATGAGCACTGAGAAATACAGTTTAGGCATCCAAAGAAAAGGGACAGGTCAAGTGACCAAGTGAATGAGAACACAGCAAGTGTTAGAGTTCTAGTTGCCAGATATTTTCAATGGAGATTATCAGACAGGGGGAAATTGGGGAAGAAAAAGGCATACTCCCAGCAAAGTCGTGTGATTGCACTGAAGATTTTCAGATGACATTATCCTTATCCAGGACTTAACCCATGAAAATCCAGGAATGCTCCAGCAAAAAAACATGCCCACAACTTCCCTGTGAATGGTTTGTTGCTGGAAGATTCCTGGATCTTCATGGGTTAAATCCTGGATAAGTGCAATGTGTCTGAAAATCTTCAGTGCAATCACGCGAGTTTGCCTTTTACTCCTGGCTCCCCACCCCCACCCCGTCTGACAATCTCCATAGTCTCATTCTCTTCAGTGCTATAAATGTGGAGACTGAAATAAAAATATTAAGAGTGTCAGAATCCATATGCATGGTTCTCTCATGTTGGCATGATGATATAATGCCATTAGGGGATGAAGATATGAGGGCATGGTGATATGGTGATTTAATGCTGTATAGTATGTTGGCTATTGAGAAGGAGATATCAGTCATGTTAAATCCAAGCCTGGGAAACAACCGGAGGAGGCAGATAACCAGGGGTGGAAAGGATCTGTAGTTTTATGACCCCAATCTTCCTGCCATGGATCTGGGCTGTGAAACAGGGATGACTTTCTTCCTGAAGGGAGATGAAATGATAATACAGGAGGGGAAAGAGGGAAATATGAAGGGCCCTTTGATCCAGATCAAAGGAGAGCAATTGGGGTTGGAAAGGGGGAGGGCTGAAGGATGGGAATGTATTTGTGATGATCTGGGGGGGGGGCTTTTTCAGTTCTGACACTGAACCCAGGACGGGGAACTTTCTGTCTTGATATCCAGAATAAATCTCTAGTTTCTGTTACACTATGATGCTTTCTTAGTTATTGGGAACTGGGTCCTCTGCCTAACAAGGAGAGCAAAATTCTTATTTGAGGGGCAATGACCTCCTTTTGCCCCCTCTCCTGAGCTACATATCTTCAGGTAAGTTTTGTTTCCCCCAGCCCTGCCTGGAGAAAGCTGGTATTGTTGTTGTTGTGTACTTTCAAGAAGTTTCCAATTTATGGTAACCCTAAAGTGAGGCTATCACTTGGACTTCTTGGCAAGATTTGTTCAGAGGGGGTTTGCTTTTGTCTCCCTCTTAGGCTAAGAGAGTGTGACTTCCCCAAGGACACCCAATGGCTTTCTATGGCCAAGCAGCAATTTCAACCCTGATCTCCAGAGTCATAGTTCAATGTTCAAAGCAAAATATCATGCTGGCTCTCTACCTAACTCTGCTTAACTTGCAAAATGAGAAGGAGACTAGATATATTAAGGGTGATATGATAGCACTGTTGATATTGTTGCCACTGGATAGGATTTGGACCAAGATGAAAATCTTGCTAAGAAAACCTCGTGATGGTGGAGTAGCAATTCTGATATATACGGCGCAGATTACAACAACACCCATTCAATACAATTTGCTTTTATTAAAGAGTGAAAAAGTGCCTTAGGTTTGAAAGGTCATTGGAGCCATAGTTTGGAGAGTCCACCATTTTTCTGAAGCAGGATCACGTTTCAAAAGTCAGCCATAGATTTCTAGTTCCTGAGAAAGGTCTTTTTCCATGATTTCAACCAAATAGTCTGCAAAGAGAAGCACAGGCTTTAGGTTATTAATTCAGAACATTACTATAGATGAAGCACATTTTTACCTATGTAACTCACTTCATGTTCACTCATCAAAATGTCACCATCTTGAATTTTTCCATTGAATCTCTGCTTTAGTCGCTTTTCTGAGTTTGTCCTCTTCAAGTTATCCACTCCCCCCCCCCAATTTTATTAAAACTATTTTTCAGACTCAGAGATTCTATTGCATATTTGCCTTGGGAATTGATGGGGGTGAGATATGAGCCTAAATCTTATTGTTAGTCCCAACTAGAGTGGGACCATTGTACCAATTGGGTTGACTCAGATGACTGACCATTCAACAATAGTTTTAACAGGTCTACTCTAGCTTGGTTTAACCAACAGCATTCCAGCTGCAATCTCTTTCAATTCATTTTTTGGTGATCACACTGACCTTGAAAATCTTATTTTTTGGCCATGCCACCTGAAGCATTGTAGGAGTGGTTTTCCAAAGAGTGGTGTACTAGTTTGAGTGTTAGACTACAACTTTGGAGATCAGAGTTCAAATTCTGCTTGGCCATGAAATACATTGGGTGAGTTTGGGTAAGTCACATGCTCTCAGCCAAGGGGAAGGCAATGGCAAATCTTGTCAAGAAACCCCCATGATAGGTTCACCTTAAGGTCCTCATAAGTCAAAATGCCTTGAAGGCACCCAACGCACACACATTCCAAAAAGATAAAAAATCAAGATCTGCATTTATGGACTCTGTCCTGTATTTCTATTAATCTGAGAATGAACGGTCGGATTCAGTATTGCAGTTTGGGATTCTTACCCATGGCCCTGTCTTCAAGGCCAAAATAAAGTGGTGGCTTCCCCCATCCTTCTGATGAGAAGTCCAGCCTATACAACCCCAGTTCTGGAGTGAACAGACAGGATAACAGTCAGCCTGTTCAGCACCAGAACCAGGATATACCCCTCTTTCCATGGATTTTAAAAAGTTTCCAGTTGCTCCAGATCTTCTGGGAAGATCTGGAGCCATCCATTCTGACATTCTGTGGCTGTTTAAAATGCATCCTGCTCTGCCACATGGAGCATCTGCCACTACTGCCAGTTGCTGGTTCTGAGGTCAGAATGAGGTGCCCAACCATGTGATCAAGACTGGGTGCCTCCTTTTGACCTTAGAGTGAAGCAACCTGCAGCAGTGGTGGATGCAACAGGCAGCTCAGTGAGATACTTGCAATCAGCTGCCCAGCTTTGGAACAGAGAGTTTTTGCATTAGTCAGGGTCAGGGAAGTTCCAGGATCAGGATACTCTTGACTGCTCTGCACAAGTGCAGATAGGATCCTAAAGTTATGGATCCCTAACTGTCCCATAAAGTGTCATTCAAAAAAGCAGGCTTTGCTGTCCTCCATTTTATATAAGGGACACATTTTACTATGCCATTATATATAAAGGAACTTGAGCAGCCACAGATTTTGGTATACTCAGGGGGTCCTGGAACTAAACCTCAGTTGATACCGAGGGCTCACTGTACGTGTTGTGAAAAAACACTGTCCTCAAGATTATATATACACTCTATATTTAAAAGATAGAGATTAATGCACAAATGGAATAGAATAGAATGTATCTCTATATGGTTGAAAACATGTGAAAGAGAAAAGAGCTAAAGACTAGTTTGGATTTCCCTGTCCATATCTGGATTACTTGAAGAAAATATAGCATAGATGAACCTTAGTGACTGAACTGAGAAACACATATGTCAGTTAATATAGATCAGTATACAATCATCTTCCACATTTGCAGCTTTGACTTTTGTGGATTTGAGTGTACATAGATTTGTTAATATGTTCTCTCTAGGCATCTCTAGGTTCTGCAGCATGGCTATGGTCAATGTCTGCCAGAAGTCACACTGGAAGACCTAGAAATTCCTAGAGAACACATTTCTAGGCTTTTGTAGGTCCCCCAGGGAAATTTTATGGTCAGAGTCTCTCAGATGTTGACCATAGAGTTTGGCTGAAGATTCCTAGAGAGCTATTGTACCAGGTAAAAGATTTTTTTTTATTTGCAGTTTTCCCACTTTCAGGGGGATCCTGCACCTCTAAGCCCAATGAATGTGGAGGGCTCACTGTATGTCAGTACTGCAACTGCTACTCACTTTTTACAGCAGACTTTCCAAGTGCTGCACTTCCCAACAATGCCCAAAGGAAAAGCACAAGCATTTCCCAGAGGAAAAATGCAGAAGCCTTTTTCACGTCTACACTGAGCTTCATTTTTGATCTTCCGGGTAGATCCTGCACAAAGAAATAAAAGGTATATGTGGGGTGGTGGTGGTGATGAACAGGCTGGCATGCTTGCCAGTGACCAACAAAGTGAAATCCATTTGACTTTCATGTCTTAGCTCTGAAAGTCAGAACACTTAGATCAAGATCATATGAGAGCCAGAGTGGTGTAGTGGTTTGAGTGTTGGACTAAGACTCTGGAGTCCAGGGTTCAATTACCAGCTTGGCCATGAAACCCATTGGGTGAACTTGGCCAAGTCAAATGTTCTCAACCTCAGGGGAAGGCCATGCCAAACTTCATGTGAACACATCTTGCCAAGAAAACCCCATAAAGGCTCACCTAAGCATCACCATAAGTGGGAAATGACTTGAAGGCACACAACAACAACATGATCCTGCATCAGGTGTGTGTAGCATGAATCTCTGAATGTGGGTTTACACATTGATTGTTCTATGCAACCCATGTATTTAACAATGTTGTGCAATTGTCTCAAAATAGTGCATGTGAAACTGATTGCACAACCGTAGATAGATAGATAGATAGATAGATAGATAGATAGATCGTTAGATACATAGATGTACAGCCTATTCAAGACCAGGAAGGAATAAAAAGACATTAGATGCAATATGCAGAAGAATTATGCAAAAGAAATGACAAAATGAAGGACGCATGGAATGAACAGCCATATGAAAAGACTGCTTCTACACTGCAGAATTAATGTAGTTTGACACCACTTTGACTGCCACGGCTCAATGATATGGAGTTCTGTGATTTGTAGTTTTGTGATTTGTTTAGTCTTCTATGTCAGAGAGTTCTGGTTTCCCAATAAACCAAAAATCCCAGATGTCAAACTGCATTAATTTGGCAGAGTGGCAGCAACCTAAGGTTGGATTTCTGGGAGGAAAAAGCAGAGATGAAGAATCGTTTTTTCTAGAATATCTTTTGCCCTCAAAAGTAGCCTCTCAGAGTCTGCATGGGCAACTGAAGCCAGGATGGGGTGTGAGTAAAAAGCGAATGAGAACACCTTTTAATTAATTAAATAAATAATTAAATTAAATGTAAACCAACTGAATTTCAATGTACCAATGAAGTAATTATCCTGCCTTTCTCCTTGTACAGGATACCAAGTGGTTTACAAGTGATCAAAAACAGGGTACAGCTGCCAGTTTGGTTCTGGGTACAAGTCTAAACACAATATTCATTTATGTTTCCTATACACCTTATACACATGGTCTGAAGGTAGTTTTAATAAAATACTTTTGTGCATGAAACAAAGTTTGTGTACACTGAACAATCAAAAAGAAAAGGTGTCATTGTCTTAGCCAACCATGAAAAAGTTTTAGATTTTGAAGTATTTCAGAATTTGGAATTCTAGATAAAAGAGACTCAACCTGTATATCAAACATTTCAGCCCAGCTTAAGACAATTTTCCAATAGACTTAATCAGAAAGCTTGATGTTTATACTTTAAGGTTTATTATCCAAGAAGCCATGCAACAAACAGTTTTCCATGGACAAAGGTCCTTATCAACAAGGCAGGAGGAAGATTGAAAGAGGAAAAAAAATCCTGGTTAAATTTGCCCTACTCATAGCTAAGGATTATTCTGTTCCCAATTGCCAACAAACATACCTGGATCAGGGAAGACCACCAAGAAGAGAGCAAAGAGGAGAAGACAAAAGATCTTCATAGTAATGGACAAATCAACAGGGGATATTTCACTTTGGCTTTCTTTTCTTTTTCTTTTTTCCACCAGACAAAAGAAGACAAGGATGAGAGGATGTGTTACTTCTCTCATTTTATACCACTCCAGAGATTACACCACATTCAGCCATTGAAGTCTTGGGAAATTTGTCTTGCCTTGCAAATACCTTGGCAAGTTCTTTCCTGATAGAACATCAGTATACAAGAGGAAGTGGAAACTGTAGTTTGGAAAGTTTCTCTTGTCTTGGAGCACACTTTGATCTTATTTGCAGTGCCTTGGGACAATATCAGTGCTTGATAAATGCCCCACCCTTCTCATAGGTTGCTGGACTCTCATCTTGTTGGCATTCATTCTCATAGGATGTGAGACAAGGCTGAAGACCATGGCTGAGCTACATGGTACATATAGCTACAATGTTGTAGATATGCTTCTTCTCCCAATCTTCCCCCTTCAACTCATCTTAAAAACCAGGCAGCCTCACCAAGCAAGGAAATTTTGGCAAATATATAATCAAAGCAGGGGAAGGAAAGAGCCCATCTGGGAGGTGATGTATGTAGAGGATCTGGGAGGAGCATCTGCAAGCTGAGGCACCAGATATGAGTGGGAGGAAGGCTGCAAGTGCGGTGTAGCAGGACGTTATCACACGTGGGCCAGTTTCGTTGTTAAAGAGATAATAAAGTGGAAATGAAGCATCCTGAAAAGAAAGTGAAAAAAGAGTTTAATTGCGTAAAAACTTTTCAAACGTAATTACAGTAATAACAGAATTAAGTTAAAAGTGGAGAAAAAAAGACATTTTTAACTTTCATACACAAGTGAAAAGAACCCG